CCCCAACCCCTGAAGCACCTCCCATCCGCCCCCACATCCCCCAACCCTCAACGCCCCAGTTATGTGTGTGTAGGTGTGCTGTGTGTGCGCGTATCTGTGTATGTGTGTGCCTGCCGTGAGAGTGAGTCTGTGCATGAATATGAATTTAAGTGCGTGTATGTATGTATATGTGTGTGTTTGTGTATTTGTGTGTTTGTAAGTGTGTGTGTGTATGTGTGTGTTTGTAAGTGTGTGTGTGTATGTGTGTGTTTGTAAGTGTGTGTGTGTATGTGTGTTTGTAAGTGTGTGTGTGTGKGTGTAAGTGTAAGTGTGTCTGTGCCTGCGCGTGAGAGTGTGTCTCGCCTTACTCACAACCTCGTTCCCCAACACACAGATTCCACTTGCACCCAAGGACCACCCTGCGCCACACCCAGCTTACAGCAGCGCARYTCGGCTATGGCTGCCTGCTCCTTCCTGCTCGCCCGTGAGCGCGTGAGTGGCACGAGCTACAACGCGGCAGCGCTTATGCAGCATGCAGCCATCACCTGTATGCCCAATGTGGAGGCAGGCCCTTCGCTATATCGAAGTGGCCTGCCTGTGTTCAGTCCCAGGAAGCTTCCAGTAGGGCCCGGTAACCTGAGGCACAGCTCGAACGAGAACAGGCCTTGGGCCTGAGGTTGTTGCATGCCCCCAACTGCCCTTGGCCTGTGTTTGGCCCAGTACCCGTATCCAGCCCAGGGCCTGCTTTCCATACATTCACACAGGCGGCCCAAAACCTGGGTTCCCTCAACCAACTGACGCCAGACTCATGCAACCTGCTGCAGGCCCAATTTTGTGTGTGTGTCTTTTTTTCCTTTTTTTAATTTGCTTTTTATGGTTTTAATTTTTTTTTTAAATACACGAAATTCCAAAAAAATAAAATAAAAAATAAATTGTTGTACATCTTTGAAAGATCTACAACCGTATATTTTTTATTTATTTATTTATTTTTCGTTTAAGCCCTTCAAAAATCTGTGTGAAACCCAAAACAAAAACACTCATTTCATTTTAGTTTTTGTTTTTTCATTGTGTGTTTATGTTTTTGATTTTTTAAAAATAGATTTAAGCATCAAAAATAAAATCAAAATACAGGGTTGAAGTCCTCAACAAAACCTACAACCCCATATTTGTTTCTTTTTTTTTGGATAATTTTTCGCCCAGGAAAAAAATCATCCCGGACCCCGTTAATTCCCGTCCAACTCGCGTTTGAACGGGAGTTTAACGCGAATTCAACCGGAACCCGCGTTAAATCCAATTTCGGACACACAACCGTCAACCCCGGCAGTGTACTCCGGCCACGGCCGTAGCTCTGTCGCCCTCTTGCCGAACACGTACTCAAGCAGGTCGGTTCTAGAAGGTCGGCAGGCATGGAAAGCGACGACCTGGCGCTCGATGTCCTGCTCGCTAACACTGCCAGCAGGTCGTGCTCCCCACACCTCGGGCTTTAAGTCTCCCTCGTCGTCCTCCTCCCCTCCCGCCGTCCCCACCCGACCGGTCCCCATAACCCACGACAACACGTAGCCACCACCCTGCTGGGTGCACGCGGCCAGTTTGAGATTGGTGGCAATCTCAACCAGCTGTGCTAGCTTTGCAACCCCGAGCTTGCTGCGGCTCGTCGTGTTGATGCGCTCGTGCTGCGCCCAGTTCCTCTCCGCAGGAGAGGCGGACGTCCACAAGTGCATCACACGGATGGCGATGGTACGCAACTCAGGGTGATGACGTCCGTGAGCAAACCACCACGCCGCGCAACGCTCGGTGTAGCGGTCCCCCAGACAATCGTCCGCCTCGGCATCGGACAACTACCGATCTCCCCAATCTCCCCAGCGTGAGTGGAAATGCCTCATCTGGTTTCGCACGGTCCTGTACAGTCTGCCGACCGGATTGCCGCCGGTCTGCGCGAGAAGAAATCTGTCGCACTCCTCGACCACACGGGCGTCATCACTGGTCGTCTGCAACGACTCATAATATTGAAGGGACCGTCGACGAGGGTTGAGGAGGTGTGCCGCGACATGTGCAGGCTCGAGCATGTGGAGGTTGCGGATGGCAACCTCTCGCACGCACGGCTCGACCATGTCCGTCGGCACATCCACCCTCCTCATCAACTGGAACAGATGCTGACTCCACTTGTACACGATGGACATCATCATCCCCCCCCTATCCATCCTCCTTAGTAGCTGGTGGACGGGCGCCATAACGCGGATGGCACAAGGAACACATCGCCAGAACTCCCTGTCGTGGATCTGCTGTTGTACCCACTTCACCTGGGCGATAAGCCTACGCTCCCGCGGGATGCGTGCCGACGCACCACCGTGCAGCATGCTCTCCAGCGCGTCCCGCCAGCCTTTGACACACGTGAGCATCAGGAAAACCGATGCAAACCGGGTCTCAACGTGCTCGACGAGTATGACGTGATGGCTCAACTTCCTGAAAAGGGAGTGAGCAGCGCTGTGCAATTTAATAAATCGCACTAACGCTCAGACACGGATGATGGTCTCCTTGACCCACCCACTCGCGTCCCGACATCTGACAAAATCGAGTTGCAGACTTGGGTGGAGCAAATAAGCCAAGTGATCCTCCTAATATCCACGTCAGGGTCTGTGACGAATCTGTGGGCCGCCGCCATATAGTTACTGGAGAAGTCCGTGCAGAAGCCGATCACGTCCTTTGCAGGAAAGGACAGGATGATGGCCCCCCACCGGCGATACACGATATCCGCCATATCGCGGACAGACCCGTCAAGTGCGACGGTGGCGTACAGCAGGGCGCCGTTCGCGCCCTCGGCCAGGAAGTTCACGAGCGGCTTGCCGCTACGCGACTTCCTTCCATCGGAGAGGATGGTGGCACCGGTGTGCTGGAAAGCGGAGCGCACCTCGCTCACCATCGACGTTACCTTCGTCCTCTGCGAAGGGATCCCAGCGCCCGCTGTAACCCTGTACGAGGGAAACAGGAACCGAATTGTCTCTCTGCCGCCCAGCGAACCCTTTGGGACTCCAGCCCTCGGAAGGCGTTGAATGGCAACCCCTTCACGTAAATCCACTACAGCCACGCGTCTGAGAACTCGACCAACTTCTCCTTGTCGTACATCTCCTCAATCGTCGTCTGCCGTGCCCTCTTCTCCCTCATCGTGTCCCGCACATCGATATCCTCCTCCCGCACTTTCCTCTTCTCCCTCCTTGCGCGGTCCAACTCAGGTCGTGATGCCCTCGCAGCGTGACCCGCTGGCCCAACCCCTCTCGCCGTTATGACTACCTCCTCCCCTGGCAGGTCAGGGCCTCCGATTGCGTCGTCTCGCATCCCCGCCTCGCCGACCCCACCCTGGCCCCCCTCCTGCTCATCGAGGACGTCCTGAATCTCGTCCCTTTCTGCGTCGTCCATCCGTGGCCGCTGCCCACCCTCGGGCTCTCTCGTATCGCGTATCCCCTCCTCAACCATCCACCTCTGCACCCGCCGAGCAGTGCTGTCCACAAACCTGTAGTCGGTGCCGTTCCAGAGATCCGCGAGAATTCTCATCCCCACAACCTTGCACTACTTCAGTTGTGTGAAATGGCGAGCGACCTTCGTCGCGTTCCCCTGCCACACGTGGCTGCAAAAGTTGCAACGCAACTTCCTGTCCCCATGCATCTTCGACTGGTTCCCCACAAGCTGGCCCGCGGTGACGAAGTTCCACACCAAGTTGCCTCGCCTTATCCTCGCCATCTCCCTGTCAGACTGTGGGATGAACCCCCCACCTGCAGACCCCCACCGCTGGTTCCCTCACCCCCCGTCATTGTCCCCCAACTTCGCAGGCTGCTATGTACAGCAAACTCTGAGCGTCGAAGTCCTCGGCCCGTCCGTCGATATCGTTGCTCGCTCCACACCGTCGATGAAGTCCTCGCCACCCGCTTGAAAAACTGACCCCTGACGGCACCCTCACGGCCCCCTTGAACAGATCGCCAGCCCGCCCGAGGGGTCGCGGTCGCGGCCTCTCCCGCTGTCACGGCAAGTCCGGCTGATCTCGGCCGATTTTGGCCGCGTTCGGCCGTGTTCGGCCGCGGCCTCGCACTAAAATCGCCGCGCGGCGATGGCGTGCGAGTGGGACCCAACGGCGGCCGCGTGGCGAACGCGTCCGACTGGGACTGAGCACCAAGGGCCCAGATGGCGTCGTGGCGAGCCCCGTGAAGAGGAAGACTGCGAAAAAAAATCTCTCTCTCTCTCTCTCTCTCTCTCTCTCTCTCTCTCTCTCTCTCTCTCTCTCTCTCTCTCTCTCTCTCTCTCTCTCTCCTGGTACCCGTGCACGAGCCGCGTAACGAGAAGGAAGAAGAAGAAGGAAAAAAATGAAAGAAGAAGAAGAAGAAGAAA